GACCAGGCGCTACGATCTGGTCCATGAGGGATTGCAACCGATTCTGCCGAAGTATTAAAATCTGCAGGAGGCGTTTTAAATCTCTCGTACTCACTGGCGCTTGTATCGCGTTCATTTCTTCGAGAGGATCATACCTTTGCTGGTACACGACCGGAGTAGGCGTAGGTCGGTACGGGTTGACGAATCGCGCTTGGTATCCTGGAATAGGAACACCTCTCTCGTCTACTGGGATGGGGATAATTCTTCCGACGGGTCTCATGTCGTACGGAATAGTCACCGGCTCCGCTGTGCTCTTAGTGGGATGTGCTATAGCCGTTTCCTTTTCTATCTGCTGCTCCAGTACTTTTTCTGGATATTCAAAGTGATGAAATGGCCGCTGATTCCCAATTGGTACCGGAGCTCCTGGATTGTCTCGCAAATATTCATCAGTCCTAAAGTGCACAGTGGGTTGGGGCCTTCGGTATATCGGTTGCTGGTATAGTCTGTCGTCTGTGTCTCTGTGATTTTGTATATGAACAACCGGTACGGGATTCGTTGTAACAACACTTTGTTGATCAAAAACCCGTCCGGTGCTGGCTTCAACGGTCGTCTCCTGTTCCTCCGCAGCATCCTGGTAGTGCCGCTGCAACTTTTGTCGAGCAGCGACCAAGGTGTGGATAGGAATAAGTCTAGGCCTAGAGGTCGTAGTGGTGAAAAGTGGGCGCACCGATCCGTGAGACTGATGACCTCCATATACGTCAGTGGAATCATCTCCTACTGATTGCTGCAGACTCAGCATGTGTGGGTTGGAGCCAGTTCCAGGTAATTCCCGACGTGTTGTACTCGCCTTGTTCGCTTCAGGTTCGTCTTCGTCGATGTGCTCGTGGACGGGTTTCACGGTTGATGGTAAATTCGTAGTCGTTTGTTTAGTAATTAAGTCAACCTTAACTGTCGCAGAGGTAGGTTTCGAAATTTGAGTCCTAGTTTTAGTTTCTTCTCTAGATTTGTATAGATTTATGATATTGCTTGTGGTCTCTTCCATCTTTTCAGTTGTAGTATCTATGTTATTCGTCGGTCTCGCAAGCACCGGACGTCTTC